CAGGAATACCAAACAAGCCTCAAACAAGTCACTTTACGAGCAGTTGGCCGTGAGCGACACTTCGAAATCGGACTATCGGCGAGCAGCGACTCGAGTCGTTTGAGCCCGTGGTTGAAATTACCAAAAGATCAGCGTTTTAAATGTAAAATTTATATTTATATAAAATTTCTTCAGAAGGTATGAGTGAGTATGGCCTTATGGTAAAAAGCAAGGTGATCCGTGAGATTTTCAAGGTGGCGACGAAGGTGGTTCAAATCCGCTGTTTTCAAGTAAAGACACCCTTAGCTTAATTTCCTTCTTTGTTTCCTTTTTTTATCTTTTTCGGACACATTAATCATTTTCCAGGATGTATACATTTAAAAATAGAAGTATTGATGCCATAAATGAAATATAAGCTGCAAGAGGTAAAAGTGTATTCAGAGATTGGGCAAACTTTAATTAATTCACAAATGAAAAACGGATACTTTTTTACTCTTTCAAGATTATCACTGGCTTCTTTTTTGCCCAAACACTATTCTTAGCAACAAAGGTCGCCATTTCGTTTGTTTATCACTCGCCAAAAACTATCAAATACATTCAAAAGCCTAAAATACAAAAAAGTTTACAGGAAACGACCAATCGAGCGAGCGAGTGCCATTCATCACATCATACCAACAACCAGTTCTTGCACACGCGCAATTCACAAGTTAAAAATTGCTTAGCTAACACACAACAGCTCAAGGTGCATTTTTCACCTTTTTACATGACAATTAGCGAACGGATTCGGATTTAACAATTTTTTTAACGGATTGACGGATTTGGTTATCAAATCGTAGCGGATCGGTGGATTTGCATACCCCTATTCACCCCCCTCTTGTAAACAAAATTCCATCCAAAATCCATTAGTTCAATTAATCCTTGAATTTAAATTTCGCTTTTAGGTTTTCATAGGCAAATCAAATAGCGGCAGAGTTATAATTTTCATCAGAAATCTGTTTCTCCGCTTTATCTCGACCAAAACTTTCATTTAAGGGCTCGTTTTAAAGCTTTTAAAATGCTTCTCAACACTAAACCGAAAATGAAATCATTGTTTTAGCGCGAGGCGTTCTGTTGCAGAAAAACACAAGGTGATAGTTTTGGTAAACGCGAATCAAATATAAACAAAAGGATATTAATTTGATGCTACGCAATTAGCCCGCATTGTTAAAGCCTTTTGAAAATGAATAATAGCTTCTCCACCGAAAAGTCGCAAGTTCTTCCATCAACAGCCTTCTTACTCTCATTGCACAAAGGCCGAACGGGGTCGATCGCTCTCGGAAATGCAGTTTATGAGCCCTCGTGGTAAAAATGCCAGCNTACATTTCACCACTTGCCAGTCAACTGATGATTGTTCACATCTAAGAAAATGTTTCAAGCACAGAAATGTCTTTGCTCAAAATTTATCACTGAACCAATCATTTTAATCAAAACTTGACACCCAAATAAAAAATAAAGTCCATTTTGAGCCCTGTAAAGGTCAGTGCGTAGCTAGTGAGAAAGCACTAGGTCCCACTTTTCACAAAATGGTCTCACAGAAACAGACACCACAATCATCTGTATTAAATCCCCATCTCGTCAGGCAAATGTAAAACAAATGCATGTATAAACTGTGATGTCTAAAAAAATTAAAACAGAAATAAAAACCTTCTTTCAGATATCTCAATATGAAAACTAGACGGAAAATAATTATATCTTTGTAGTGTTTAATCCACACCACATTGTTTTGTCTGCAGTTTATGTATGAATCAAAATACAAGTAGAGTTGTTTCTGTAACAATACATGTGCATAGAGTAAAACTTTGCAATTGCATTGCTGTATTCAGAACAACTTTGATGATACAGGAAAGACTCCTTACATCTTATGCTGGCTACACTGACACTTGTGGCATTATCTCCATATCCATTGCTGGCTGTACATCTGTATGATCCCACATGCTTCAACTTCACATTGGTGAAATGAAGCTTGTAACCTGTCACATTAAATTCTTCTGCTGGTGTACCATCTTTTGTCCAAGTTATCTTTGGGAAAGGGTCACCAGATGCATTGCAAGTCAGAGTGTAGTTTTCTCCAATGGTAAGCAAAGGTGTTGGTGTGGGTGGGACAGTTATTTCTGGAGGCACTGGGAAATAACATTTGGAGATATGTGTTTAGATTGTGTGAAAATATCACAGTTATTACATTGTGTACCATGTTAGATACATTTCTAGGAAACTGCTATCTCAAAGGCAATGTAACTATTTACAGAATTTTGTGAATGAAATGGAGAGACAGAGATAAATATTAGCCACCTAATTGCTGAGGAAAATACTTGTTAATGATAATAACAGAAATGCTTAAGATATTAATACTGATACATGCATACATATATTCAGATGTTAAGCGAGAGATGCACGGAACCATGTGGACAATGCCCTGGACTTGGCTGAAGAAGTCCAACACTAAGCCCTAAATGGGTCAATGAATTGGAAACTTGAACAGGACCATCTACCCTTGCAGTGCCTCTCTCCACCCAAGATTGTAAATAAGCACAAGAAAACCTGAAAAATATTGGGCTAATCCTACAACCCTATGGCATCCTCTCCCAGGGGTTAGCAAGTTTCCTTGACAATTCAGGTCACTAAAACCCCAGTGAGAATCTCTCAGGAAGTTAAAATATGCACAAACTTTTTGGTTTCCTTTAATACAATTGCAATATCTCTGAAAAATAAAGTGTTTCACTCAGCAGCCTGAGTGTGGGTTATCATGAGTGAAACATGCTGTGAATATATTAACTTACTACATCAAATGGAAAACACAGCCTGCTATAATATCATAGCTTTCAATAAACAAAAGACATTCAAATTTTCCAAGTCAACCATTGCATACTGTACCTCCCAGTGGTAGGTATAAATACTTGAATGTAGTAAGAAGTAAGTGAGCCGTTCAGACATAAATATTCAATGCTAGATCACTCATGCAAATCTGACATATGTGGTAGTAACCCACAAACAACACAGACTGGTCTGCTACTAAGCGGTTGTGATAAAACATAGACTGCACAGTGTAGACCATGCAGACTGACTTTTTTCTATTTTCTTTTTTTTCTAACTCTGATTTTCACAGTTTCCTTACTCATAGTTTGAACACCACATGATCTAGTTTTATGAGGTTATTTCGAGCTCAGGTTACCTAGCAACAATTCAGACGAAATCCCAGGCTCGAATTTGTTGTGCATATGGTGAGATGGAGATCAATGAGGGGGGGGTTGTATTTGAATTTTCTCCTGCATTGAGATGAATAATTATTTTACTTTTGTCATATACTTGTGTTAAAATTAACTCTATTTCTGTATTGAGGATGTGATCTGTTTGTAAACCAATGACTCTGATTTGAAGGTAAGAAACAGAATGCACAGACAAAGCAAAGAATTACCAGGATCTTCACAACATGGCCCAAAGAACTCTACAGTAAATAAAGTCCTTCAGCCTAAAATCAATGTTTACTTATAATAAGATCATGCCCATACACTTGCACACCAATTTTCAGATAGGACATTGCCAGAAAGATGAAACATTGATTCACACATTTTGTGGAAGCTCCTCTACATAAACCTTTAAGGCAAAAAGTAATGATAAGTTAAAATATATAAAAAAATCACTGGTGTACTGTACCAAAGTGTTATTTAGTAACTAAAAAAAATTACCCATATGCAAGGTCTGCACATGGTCTGCACACAGTCTGTGTTTTAACGTGACTGGCTACTATGAATATTAAGCAATGATGATTTCAAGAGTCGTTTACGAAGTGGAAAGAATGCATCAGAAACAGCACCTTAGTGAACAAGAGAGCATCAAAATCAAGTTAAAAGGTTATAAAGAGGTTTTCCTAATTGTAATTTGGTACAAAAGCAAGAAGAAAATCATGCATGTACTCTTTATATATATCACAGGTATCGCAAGCTCAGGTATTGAGGAAAAATGAAAGATTATTTCTTGAAAGCGTCACAACTTGTGGGATGTGGTGCTAAGTTATGCCAGAAATTGTTGAGAATTTGAATGTGTTATAAAGAATAGTATGGGCAACACTTTTATTCTGTTCCACAATTCAGGAGACAGGTAATGTTAATACAGTCAAGAATACAGAAATGTTTTTTGTTTCGATCTGATATGAAGCTCTACAATAATTTCACAGGTCTAATTCAGAATTAGTAGACTTTGCCTGATAACACAAAAGTGAGTCAGTTTTAACAATCTTAAGTATAACATGTTCATATTTCAGAATATTAAATGTTAGTGTTGTAAGTAGACCATATTTTGTTGCTCATGCTATTCTTTATAACGCAATTGAATTCAGGAATGTTTACATAACTTAAAATGCTTACATAACTTAAAACCGGGTCACACAATGCGTGACGCTTTCAAGAAATAATCTGTTGTTTTTCCTCCAGACGTGAGCTTGGGGAGGTTGCCTATTTACCGAGTCAGGATTTCGAGTTAGATTTCAAGTTGGATTTTTGAGTTAGGATTTTTGAGTTAGGATTTTTGAGTTAGGATTTTTGAGTTAGGATTTTTGAGTTAGGATTTTTGAGTTAGGATTTTTAGGCAGGATTTTTGGGCGGAATTTTTTGGTGATTTTTTTTGTTTTGGTGGGGTTTCCAATAAATTTTCAGTGGTTTTACACAATGTACTTTGTCAGAGGTGTTGCATATCTCAAGATGGAGGAGAATGAGGATTGCAGATCGGCAAGGGCAATCTTGTTTAATCTATCCTAGTATTGCTTTCGTAATTGTAGTTTTGACTGGAAACATAGCTGACACTTTAATGAGTGCTTTTAGTTATGGATTATTCATTAACTTTTGACTATCTGTTCATTTGCGTGTCGAATCGGTCGGGATTTTAACCATTAAGATCTTTTGTAAGATAATGCTTGATTTCAAGAGAATTATACACCAAACAAAACCTATACGTGATACCAGAAATGTTACCTGTTTCGAATTTTCTTTTCAGAAGTACATGATACATCCAGGGCCAGTAAGTATACATATAGATATATATATTTATTTATTAATAATAATAGTAATATATATATATATATATATATATAT